AGGTAGTGGGACTGTGGGAGAGAAACAGAGTTACGGGGACAAACCTGGGACGCTCAGGACTGACTCTAGTTTGGGAATGAAGCTGGGAGCTGCAGGTCTGTATAAAGACTGCTGAGAGCAGCAGTTTGCTCCCAGATCAAAGCTGTTCCCTGTGTCCCAGGTGATAACGGTGCATCACCACTGCAGCCTGAGACCCCCTTGTCCCAAAGTGCTGGGGCTGGCTCACGGAATGCCCCATTGAGCTGCTGGGCTCGGGGTGAGTGAGAGTCCCAACAAGAAAGCCAGCATCTTGAGCAGGAGACAGGCACCAGTGGGGTTGTGGGGACATGGTCTGAGAGCTCTCTTGCAGAACAGCCCTGGGACCCCCCTCTTGGTCCTCAGCCCCTTGCCAGGTCAGAGCCAGGCTGGGTACCAGGAATGGGGATAGGTGCAGAGGAGCTGCGTTCCTACCAGTGTGGCCGATGGCAGTCTGAGAGGAGATGCGATGAGGCCCAGCCTGAGAAATTATCTCCACGCGGTACCGGGACCCTGGCACCAGCCCCTCCAGGTCAAGCTGGGTGACTCCACGGGGGACGGACACATTCCTGATGATGGACAGGGACTCAGCCACCGAGAGCTGTACCAAGTGGTCTCTGCCACCGCCTGACTCCACCCAGCTCACATGTAGCTCCTGGGGTCTCCGGCCAGGCTGTACACTCACATTAGCCAGAGACAGTGGATCTAGGGGGAAACACAGCATGAAGACTCATGAGATGGTGGAGAGAAGCAACTGGAGAAGCCAGGACACAGCCTGCACCTCTGCACACGGCTAAAGGAGAAGTGGTGGTGGCTGACTGCCAGCTTTCCTGTTTGTCCTGTGGGACACAAGTTGCCCATGCATGTCCCCAGGGCACTGCTAGCAGGCAGGTGCTGTACTGAGAGGAGAGCACTCGGCTCCCCAGTGGGCTGCTCTGCTCCGTGGGCAGGGAGCAGCAAGCCCGTACAGGTCTCTGTGCTTCCTCTCTCACATCCCTCTCCCACCAGTCCCAGGCTGGCCTTGAGATCACAAGCGGTCTAGACAGAAGGTTCAGCTTGACTGGGGAAGTCTGAGCTGGAAAAAAGGGTCTTTAGGACCCCAGAAGCCAGCACACAGCACTCACGACACGTGCTCTGATTCCCAGGGGTAGGAACCTTGCAGGTCTCACTAGAACCCTCCCTCCACCCGACATGTCTGTGTCACTGCTAGTCTTGCAGGCAGTGCCAGGATGCCCCGTCCCTGCAGGAGGCTGGGGACATTTCTCACTCACATGTCCACTCAGTGGCAAAGTGTGACGAGGATCTGTATGGGCCAGCGAGGACAGTCACCTTCAGGAAGTACTGAATGCCAGGGGACAGCCCCAGGAACGTGAAGTTTTGCGTGTTTGGCCCCACTGTGATGTTCCTCTGCATTGGATGGCTCTTGCTGTAGAGTTGGAGGTGGAACTGGTCCACATCGCCAGCAGCCTTGTCCCAGAAGGCAGAGAGTCCCAGTGGGCGTCGGGTGTTGGTCAGGGTCACGCCAGCTGGAGCCAAAGGGTCTGAGAGAGAAGAGACAGGCAGGCAGTGAGAGGCAGTCATGGTGGAGCTGCTGTGGTGCAGAGTTGGGGCCTGCATGCACTTGTCCTGGGCACCCTCCACAGCCTGTCCCTGGTGGGCTCAGGTCAGAAATCAGCCCTGGTGTATCAAAGCCCAGAACAGCCTGAGCTTCTGCTCCACAACAAACATGGGAGCAAGTCCCCACCTCTCCTGCTGGGTGACATTTGGAAATGTTTTTTGTTCAGTGATGGGTTTCTCCTGCACTGAAGACCCTTTTACTTCCAACCTGGCTGAATGTGTCTCTGGCTGTCCTTCCACTCTTTGTCTGCCTATGCATCCCTGACTCTGGTTCCACTGCCTCCCCACACATGGTCCTCATTCTGCCTTGCTTCCATGCTGTGAGTTTTCTGTGCTCATTGGCAGGCCATGGTTGCAATCTGCAGCAGGGATGAGGCAGGAGTATCATACTCACATGTCCAGTCTGTCGCTGATCGCACAGGGGATCTGTAAGGTCCAGCCATAGCAACCATCTTCAGTGTATACTGTCGCCCAGGGACCAGGTCTTTAAAGGTGACATTTGTCCAGTTGTTCCCCAAAGTCAGATTCCTGACTTGCTCCTGGGATTTGGTTTCCCAAAGAGTGCCTGTGTAGCCGGTGCTGCCAGTGGGAGCTGCTCTCCAGGAGGCTTGCAGAGAGGTGCTGTGTCCCTGACTGCTGAGGGTCAGCTGCTCCAGGGGCAAAGGATCTAGGAAAGTAAAGGTCTAGAGTCACAACTGCACCCAGTCTGGGGTCACCTGGCAGAAGCGCAACTCCAAACGTGTTGGGGCTGGAGCCTCTTCCCACATCCAGGTGTTCTGGTCACCCATGGGATCTGAGCAGGCCACCATCACCCCTGCTAACACCCACACACCAGTTTGGCAGGGACTGGGCCAGCACAGAGTTCAAGCTGGCATGGTAAGAGAGGACTGCTCTGGTGCTGGAAGAGGTGGTGGGTGGGATGGTCTGGATCAGGGCAGTGGAGAGGTGGTTCAAGGCAGATGCAGCCTGAGCAGTGCCACAGGAGGGTGGCCCAAGGGCAGAGGAGGAAGGCACTGGGCCCTGCTGACCCTTGTGCCAGGCAATTGGGATACACACCAGGGTCAGACACATCCAGCAGCAACTCTGCTTTCCTCCCGAGTCTTTTGCCCTTTCATTGCATAAAGCTGCAGGAGATCCATGCTGCCACATGCCCTGAGGCACAACATTGTGGGGAAGGGCAAGATCCAGTGGGAACCCCGGGGCTGGCTGCGGTGAGGGCTGTGGCACTCACATGTCCAGTTGATGATGCGCTGGGGTGAGGATGTGTAGGGCCCAGCCACAGTGCTGACCTCAAAGGTGTAGAGGGTCCCAGGGTGGAGGCCCTCGTAGGTGAAGTTTGTGACACCTCTCAGCAGCAAGCTGTTCTTCACGGGGTGCTCCTTGGGGCTGAGGGCCAGCACATAGCCCTCTCCCATTGCCTCCTCCCAGCTGGCTAGCAGGCTGTAGGGGCTCCCCTGGCTGGACAGACTCACACCAGATGGTGCTAGTGGCTCTGCAAGGGACAAGGATGGGATTGTGCATGTCACTGTGTGGGGCAGTGCATCAGGCGCCCAGATTGCTCTCACAACACTCTGCAGCAGTGCCTCCACCAAACACAGGCAGCCAGGTCTGCAGGGAAAGCCTTTTACTGCTCTCACTGCCAGGGGCTGGGTGAGTGCCTCCCCACACTAAGGCTCCAGTCCTTCCTCCCTGGGGTGGCAGCTCTGGGACAGCACCAACCGTGGCTCCATGAGTCACCCAGGAGGGACTGGGCACAGGGAGATGCTGCTCTGGGGGGACTGGTGGTGCTTCACTATCCACCAAACCATCCGCTGTGAGCAGAGGGAGGGGAAGGTGTCTCAAAGCCTGCCAAACACTGAGTCCAAAGGTTACTGAGTAGGATCTAGTCTTGATTCATGCCTGACGCTACCTGGCACAAGTTTGCCAAGGACCTCCAAGTCCACCCTCACAAGGAACTGTGGGACAGCAGGTTTTGCTGCTCCAACCCACAGCCTGCTCTTGAGACCAGGTGCCACTGCACTGCACAGCCCCATCGCTGCCCCTGATGCAATCCCCCTCCCCATCCCACCAGCCTCCCTCTGGGCATCGGCCCCTCTATCAGGCAGCAGAAATGGCCTCAAAAGGACATGCTCAGGCTTTCTCCTTACGTGTCCAGGCTGCTGTGCTGCGGGCTGATGCCCGATAAGGCCCAGCCACTGCTGTCACCTGGACAGAGTATTGCTTCCCAGGGCTCAGCCCATGGAAGATGACATGGCTGTTGTCTCCACCGACAGAGATGTTCCTCGTTGGAGCACCATCCTCTCCCTCCTGCAGTGTCACCAGGTAGAAGTCCCTCTCTCCAGCTGGGGTGCTCCAGTGAGCCTGCAAGGAGCTCTGATCCTCTGCACTGCTCAGGGTCACATTGCCAGGGCGCAGGGGGTCTGGAAGGGAAGGGAACGGGATTGTGTGCATCAGGGCTATGGGGTGCTCTGGACCTCAAACTTCCCTGAGCCTTATTCACTGCTTCCTTATCTGCAGGGTTACATCCAGCCTTAGACATCCTTTTGGAGCACGCTGTCTCCACTTCCTAGCACAGCCATTCCAGGTCTAGCAGAGCCCAGACAAAGCTGGCAGCCCTGCTGGGAAATTCCTAAAAGTCCCCCTCCTCTCCATTCGAGTCCCATCATGAGCTTGCTGATATTCCTAGGAACTGGCCTGGACAGAACTCCTGGCCAGATGCTGCTGGCTCATTCGTCTGGCACTGGGGACTTTTGTTCAGCCGGATAGATCAGAGCCGCAGACGGCAACAGCAGGGAACGGCTCACTTCATGGCAGAAACAAACCAGCTGGGGGTGTGGAGGTCTTCCAAAATCCCAGCTGCAGAGTCAGCAGTGAGCAGGCTCCAGCTTCAGGCACTGGCAGGCAGAGCAAGAAAGAACTGGGGACTTGTCACCTGGTGGCATCCAGGTCCTTCAGCGTATGCCTGACCAGTGTCTCTGCCCAGGGCCAGGGTGAGTCACTGGCCACAACGGCTCTGAGTTTTCAGCTTGGCATCTCCATGGTTTGTTGCTCCTCGCTAGAGGGCCAACACTTTCTTGGCATTCAGCATGAGTCTTGCTCTGTCTAGGAGGCTAGACTTGCCCTCTCCATTTCTGCCCCTGGCTTTTCTGGGAACATCTGGGAAAGCAAATCTGGGGCCAGAAGTGTTTGCAGTGCTACGGACACAGTGTCGGCTGCAAACCAGGACTATGGTGGTGGAAATCACCCTCTCTCAGGGCCCTTGTCAGCCTGAGGACAGAAGGTGGAAGAAGTTGGGTTGAATGGTGCAACTAGCTGGAGCCTGGGAGGGCCACTCTCAATTTCTTGACCTGCCAGAGGCTGGCTTACTTGGCTGTGTTTGCACAGCACCCAGCACATTAGAGACATCCATCAGGATGAAGTTATCAGACACTACCAAAATATAACCTTGACAGCAATCAAAGAGGACCAAAGATCCATTTCTCTCCAGAAACCTCTGGTTCAAACCAGCTAAATGGCTATTCCCCTGCCCCTTGTTTTCTCTACTGCCGTCACACAGCCTTGAGGCACTTAAGAGCCCAGCCTCAGCTGCACTGAACACCAGTGGCATCTGCAGCCCTTCCATCCTCCTCCTCAGGGAGAAGCCACAGGCTGACCCCAGTGCATACCAGCGATGAGCAGGCTGACACTGGGAATTCACCTGCCCAGGGGCTCACTGGCCCCACTATCACAGTGACCCACAGCTGGGTCCTGGAGCAGCCTTTGGCCAGGTCCAAGCAGAAGAAATGCCCTCTGCCCCTGGGGCTCTGGCAGGAGTCCTTTGGATTCAGAGGCTGGACCCGAGGCAGGGAGAAATGCAGGGCCACCGACGTCCTCCCCCACCCTTGGCCATCATACTCACATGTCCAAGCGGTGGCATTGGGCCCCCCCATGGTGTAGGGCCCAGCCGTGGCGCTCCCCCCCAGCCAGTACTGGGTGCCAGGGTGGAGATGCTGGAAGGTGTAGCTGGTGAGGCCCCTCCTGGCTGACAGGGTCGTGGTCACCGTCTGGGTGAGGAGATTGTGGAGTGCGAGGTGCAGCCAGGCGGCCCCCACAGCACCAGCCCAGGAAGCGACAAGGCTGGTGCTGGAGCCCGGGCTGAGCCTCAGATGGGTGGGGATGGAGGGAGCTGAGGGGAAAAGCAGGAGGCAGTGAGGTTCATCACTGGGGCTGGGGGTCCCTGGACTCTCTCCCCAGGGTCTCCTACGCCCACAGCTGCTCTCTATGCTGACATGGGGGCTGAAGGTCTGGCAGGGGTCTGCTGAGGGATGTCTCTCCCATGTCCCTTCCCAGGCGGGTTGAGGGGCTCTAGGCATCCCTCCATACTGTCACGCTCTTTCAGTCTGCAGGGCAGAGGGGGTGGCAGCCTGGGTAGTGCAACATTTCTTCAGCTCCCAACAGCCAAGATCTTTGCCAGGATCTCCAGATTGTCCTTCTCCCACGAGGACATGTAGCACACAAACCCAGGGCAGGACAGAGGTGTGAGGTTTTCCCCCTGGCCCGACACACTGAGCTCACAGCAGGGATGTGAGAAACTACCCAGCTGTTCCTCATCCTACACAAAATCCCCATCCCGAGCCTGGAGACCTCCTCCCCAGCTCTGTCGGCCCAGCTGGCACGTGTGCTGCACCCCTCCTGCCAAACCCTTTCTCCCACTCATTCCTTCTCGGGCAGGCACACCCATCGCTCCCTACCTGTCCACTGGTGGATACTGGTGCTTGCCTGGCTGGATCCAGCCAGCGTGCTGACCTTCAAGGCATACTCGCTGCCAGCCAGCAACCCGTCAAACAGGAACGTGGAGGCGTTTGGCAGGATGGACGCATTTCTCACGAGCGTCTGGGAGTCGCTGTGGTAGAGGGCAAGGTGGTAGCCGTCTCGCTGCCCGTGGGCGTGCGTCCAGGAGGCGCGCAGCATAGCAGAGCTCCCGCCGCTGCTCAGGCTCAGGTTGCGGACAGGTGAAGGGCCTGCGTGGGACACGGCACAGATGGTGCTGGCTGGTTGCCTGGTGATGCCTGACCTGCCAGGTTGCTCAAGGGCTGGTAGGACAGTGCCTTCACCTGGCGAGGTCCTGCCAGCCAAGTCCGCAGGACTCAATCCCCCAGGCACAGCCCCATCACCTCCCTGCCAGCTCACCAGTCTCCCACGGGTTGTGTGGGCTGAGCTATCCCCTTTGGATCAGCCTCTGCACAGTTACTTTGAACTGGGGCAGGGAGACTCGTTCAGGGACAACACACCAGGCCTGCACTGAGGAAGATGAACCCAGCAGAACTTATCTGTGAGCTCACTGCTGCCAGGCCCTCTGTTCTGCTGGCCCTGTGGGTCCTGCCACCTGCCTTCCTGGGAGCACCAGCCCCTGCTCCCTGCAGCCACTGCTGTTGCCTGGCACCATCCCTTCTGCTGGCCAACCTCCTCCTTTCAGATCTACTCTCCTTTTCTAGGTTTTCCACCTTCACCTGCACTGATTTACTCAAGGATCTTATGGAGAGATGCAGGCAAATGCTGCCATCCTCACCTGAGCTGTGGGCTCACCAGCCCTGCCCCCTTCCCCCAGTCCTTGGCATCAGCCAGGGAGGGCGTAGAGCAAGGCTCGGTGGGTGAGCCAGCGATTGACAGAGATGTGCCAAATTCATGGAGCAGGTGCTACTTCCTTGTAGCTCTTTCTAGACCTTCAGGCATGACGTTTTCCACCCCTCTGCTCTCTGCAGTCCACATCATAGGTTGGTCCATCATTAGCTATATTATTCCAGGAGGATATATAGCATGAACCCTGCCCACACAAGGTGCAGGTACAGGACCTTCCTTCCACATGGATGAGGGAATGACTTCTGGGGACCAGGGAAGGGCCCTAATCATTGTGGAAGTGAGGAAAGGCCCGACCTCCCCACGAACTCCTGAGACTCCACACAGACCTGGATTTGCACCCTCCAAAGCAGTATGACAATGATTGGTAGGAGCACCAAGAGCCTTTGGCTCTGCAGTCCCTGAGGAACCCCTTACTTGTCTGTGCCGTGACTGTCTGGCTGGTGGTCTCCATGCAGGCAAGCGTGGCTGTCAGCTCAATCTCGTAGCGCATGCCAGGGGTCAGCCCACGGAACCAGAAGCTGGTGATGTTGGGTCCAGCAGATCCATTCTGCAGCAGCGTGCCTGACTCCAGGGAGGAGAGGGCAAGCAAATATCCCTTGGCACCCCCCTCCGGCTCATCCCAGGACAGAAGGAGGGAGTCCGGCCGGCCATGGGCACTCACGTTGAGGTTCAGGAGGGTCCCTGCAGAGGCGAAGCCAAAACCCTCAGCAGGGAGCTGTGGTGCTGCTGGGTGGCCAGCCTGAAAGGCCAGGCTCCCTGGCCCACCCACCCTCACTGCACACCTTGACACAGGCCACCACCATGGGCACTGCCCCGCTTCAGTCAGGCCCCCCAACCCCAAGGGCTCCAAACAGCCTTTGGAAAACACAAGAACGTTCAGAACCCCCACGGGCTGGGGTCAAAGGCACCACGTGAAAGAGATGCTCCTAAGCATGGAGCATCTCCTCCATTGAAGAAAGACCAGAAGGCTTCAGACTATCACATGCTTTGTCCAGACAGCACTGGTTTACGGCAGAAAAGTTGCCTTGTCTGGGTATAATCTGTTGCTCACCACCTTGGTTGGTTTAAGCCCCCAAAAAGATGTTGAAGGGCTCTTGGGTTCACCTTGCAAAGCAAGACAATGGCCAGTGAGGGAGCAGGATGGGTATGGCAGTGGTGCTGTTAAGGTCCATGCACTAGTCTCTGTCTCTGTGGGGGCTCTGACAGAGAAGAGGGTAAAGGCTGCTTTGGATGGATCCGGGCACTGAGTCCTCCCTGTCCTGCCCAGTGCAGAGGTGACATGGGAAGAGCAGGACACTGCATGCGTGGAGGAAATGCGGGGCCAGATTTGCACAACCCCCTGCTGAGGTGTGTCCCTGCCTTGGCCTTGCTGCAGCAGCAAGGTTGGCATGCTGCGGCTGCAGGGCCGGTGCTGTGGCATCCAGATGGAGAGCATCTGGGGACAAGGAAGTGGTGTATGGGGCTTGGCCTAATTGGTGGGTCACCAGCCAAAACTGCTGCCGAATCCCTGCCCTTAGAGTTGCTCAGGAACCACCTACACAAACAGGAGCCAGACAGAGCCCGTCTGTTGGGACCAAGCTGGCAATGGGACCCTTGCAGGCTCCATCTTTTCCTCCCCATGCCTCCACTAGCAGATCGTCACGCACTGCCCATCCTCAGCCTTGCTGTGAACTAAGAGCTCTCTATTGCTTTCAGCCTTTGGGAAACACCAGAGCAGCTCTAGTGCTAATAAGACATTTATGTAATTATTAGCACTTAAAATTTATGACGTGCAACGTGTTGTAACAGGCTTCCATGTGATCTGGCATGGCAAGAAAGCTTTAAACAAGCACAACTACTGCCCCAGAGGTCTGCCCAGGGGCTGCCTTTACAGAACAAAAGAAGAGCAGTATGGGGTGAGCCTCAGGGGCAGGGGCACCTTTGGGACTGCTCAGGTGTTGTGTGTGGCCTTCCCACAACGCTGGACAGTTTCAGAACTACATGCAACTTCTGCCATTGTTTGGAGCCTGCTGCCATGCTGAGAGCTTCACTTGGCAGATGAGTGCAAAGGGAATCGGGGAAGTTAGATGGACACAGAAGAGGACCACATAGTCCCCCTGGGAAAGGTCTTCTCAGAGCCATCCCTGAGCAGTTCAAGTGCAGATTTAAGAACTGACTTCTCAGCTGAACGTAGTTGGGTGTCCATGGGTCAGGTGCCTACACCTGGGCCAGCTGCCCTGGGCTCCCCATGCTGTCAGCATAGACCCAGTCATGGCAGCTCGCAGAGTACGGGGCATGGCTAACCTCCTCCTGAACACAGCCAGCGTGATCGTGCCCTGTGCGGAGTTCAAACAGGGATGACTTTTCACCGTGGGCTCTTTCTCATCTCATGAAGGTAGGAGTTCTCCACCCATGTGTGTCTGCTTCTCTCATGTTTCCAACAGATTGCATCGCCTGCCTCCATCTGTCACTTGGCAACCATCTTCTTCACCTCTGCAGTACGAATGTACTACTACCTAAAACAGGCCAGCAGCATCCTCCAGATCTGAGGCCCGTGATCACAACGTCCCCATAGATTAGCTCAGGTAACCACATCACAGCCAGCCACGTCCAGGTACACCCCATGCCCTGACTCGTGCCTGCAGATCACCTGGGAGAGTTTTCACCGGCATGGGCCAGCACCATGCAGGCACCGTCCTGGCCCCAAGCACACAGCAGTGCTTGCTGCCTGCAGGGTGAGTGCTGCTCCCCAGCCAGCTCAGCACAGCCGTGGGGCTGCCCCAAGGAGTATGATCCTGCCCAGCCAACTAAGGCACTCTGTGCACGGCACCTATGGCTGTGCTGCTGCTGAGCCCTGTGATGCTCCATGGGAACGAGAGATCTTGGAGCCTTGTCCGTCTGTCACGCTGCCCCCTGTACGACTCTCTCCCCTTCCCTGGCCATGATCTGCAGCCTGGAGTAAGTCTAAAGCAGAGTGTTTACAAAGCTACTCTTAACTCCAAAAGCTCTGATCTGCTCACCCCACTGCTCCCAGGCACCAAGACCACCCTCTGCAGCCCAGCTCTTCGCTTTGACTTACCGCTACCGCTGCGTGCATCCTGGCCCTCCAGCTCTGCCCGTGCTGTCCCGTTGCATCCCTCGCCCTGGGGGATTGAAGGTGTCAAGTGAGAGCGGGGCAAGGGGAGGTGGTCTGAGCCGAGACCAATGCCTGGGAGAGCTGCCCTGTGCCAGGCCAGGGGTCAGGCTGCCCAGGCACAGTCCCATCCCGCCATGGCATCTGGGGGCTGTGACCCTCTGGGGACTGTGACCTGCCAGGAGAGACCAGGCCACTGCTCACATCACCCTCCCCTAGCCGAGGTAGGGAGACAGACTCAGCAGATGTAGCTTGTGGGCTGCCCTGGCTTTCCGTGTGGTTCCTGGGGCTGCAGACCAACATGGGGCCAGGCCCACATGGGAAGACGTCTGACCAAAACAGCCAGGGCACAAGGGGAAGATTTGGTGCGGGAGGGAGCCCTGGACAGGCTCTGCCAATCTCATTCCCTCTACAGGCACCCTCCTTCCCACGACCATGGTGGGGGGATGGCAGGACCTCAGATCTCAGTCCAGCTGCATCCCCCCCGAGGCTGCAATGCGAGGGCTTGGCCTGAGAGCTCCAGCGCATCCAGCACCCTCCACACCACAGTGGGTGCTGAGCACGCCCATGGGACACCCGTCTCCCTACAGTCTGCCGGCGGGCAGGGTGTGCCCTGCTTTAGGTTGAGGCCAGTTCCCTCCACATTAAAGGAAACATCTCTGCCCGCTCCCTGCCCCACAACAAGCCACAGAGGAGCAATCGTCTTTCTGTAGTTATTTCCCCCTTGGCTCTGCTGGCTGACTCATTTCTAGCTCCCCCACCGACTGCGGTGCTTTTGGGAGCGTGTGCATGGGAGGGAGCGAAGGGGCTCCGGACCC